CACACACACACACACACACACACACACACACACACACACACACACACACACACACAGCTCCTCACCAGGATCATTCAGAATGTATAACTCACCAGAGCCGTACTGCAGCGTGCCAAGCCTCCCCTGGACGCCTCTCGCTCCAACAAACCCCTCAGGAAGCAAATACAGGCACTGACTGGGTGTAGATGTGAGGAGGAGAGGAGGAGTGATGGAGGGAGGAGGACAGGAGAGCAGAGGAGGAGTGATGGAGGGAGGAGGACAGGAGGAGAGGCATGGAGGAGCTGTGGATGTGAGACTAATGAGTTTGGACAGCTCTTAAGCTGTGCAGCAGGACTGCACCTCTGTGTTTGTGTGTGCTTCTTGTACACACAGTCTGGTGAGGACCCACTGGTCCTTATGGGACAAAAGCCCGGTCCACACTGGGGGAAATACTGTTGGTGGGTCAGGGTCAGGCTGTAGAAATGATCGGTAAATGAATGGAAGTCAATGAAAGGTCCCCCTGAGGATAAAAACAAAGTGTGTATGTGTGTGGCACTGAGGATCCAGGCCACATCACAGACATTACATCATTTAGAGACCCTTATCCAGCTGAAGGAGGTAGTCAGAGACCTGTGAGGGTTCCTGATCTGAACCAACAAGTCCTGAAACTAATCTGTGGGAGTCCGTCATATCTAATGTGAAAATTTGTATAAAAAAATTAAAATCCCTGTGTGTTTGTTTTAAACAATAAACAGCTCTTTGACATCAGATCCTGTCCAGGTGAGCGGTCAGGACGACTTACAGAAACTTGAATAAAAACCAGGACCAAAGGGTCTGCAGAGGCAGAACAGAAGAAACAAAACAAACAAAGCATGGCAGAGTAACACAATGTCTAATGAGGACCACCAGGGGAGCAGGAGACAAACTGTGGTGGTCCAGAATGACAGAGTGGACTGAGCTGAGAGGACAGCAGTGATTACTGTGATGAGGAGCAGGTGCTGAGGAACAGGAGGAGCAGAGGGAAAACAAGAGCAAAACTACTGAACAGAGAAAATAAAACAGACCCTCTAGACCAGGGGTGGGCCGTACTGTTTCCCACTGAAACTCTACACTGTTAAAAGTTTCACCCGTGTTTAGTTATCCCCACTTACTTCTTCTCTTTAACACAAAGAGCTCTGACAAGTTTTGGATTTTTAACTCAACTTTAACTCAACAAGAGGAAAAACCCTTAAAACACTAATATGAATACATATGAAGACTCTGAATTTAAAATATATGATTTAGTAGACAATTTCTCACCAGCGAGTAATGACTGTGAGTACTACAACATGGAACAATTCAATAACATAAAAACAATAAATAATGATCTTTAGATTATTCACATAAATAGTAGAAGTATAAATGCAAATCTAGACAAACTAATCGATTACTTAGAAGAATTAAACAAAAACTTTAATATTATAGCACTTACTGAAACATGGCTTAATGAAGGAAACATGAAGGATGTTTACATTGAAGGCTACGAACTTGATCATATGAATAGAATTACTGGAAGAGTTGGTGGAGTAGCTCTTTTTATTAATAAAGAAATAGACTGTAAAAAATTTAAAGAAATGCCAGTAATTATTGATAATATAATAGAAATAATAACAATTGAAATAATAAATAAAATCTCTAAAAATACAGCGGGTAAAATAAGTATTGAACACGTCACCATTTTTCTCAGTAAATATATTCC